TATATTTTATGATATAATGTGAATTTGTTTAATGGCATTCAAACCTCAATAGATATTCAATACTGACACTCGTTTAGTTTAACCATAAGTTTATTGTAACTCATACAGAGAAACGTGATGGTTTTCTCCCTATAATTTTGGTGTAACTATTATTATTAAATTTAAGTGAATTTTTATATGAATTGTTTAAAACCATGATTTTAAAATTATTTTTGAATTTCATTAAAATTTTAATTAAATTATGATTAATGATATTTGTATTTATGTTTTCAAAAACAATCATTTAATTTCCACATATTTTAATAGTTAGAACATTATAATTAAAAAGAAAAATTCCCATTAATGTAATAAATATAATTAATTATTAATGTTTGTATATATTATTAAAACGGGTAAATATATTAATATTATATAACTTACTGTATATATCATACGGACTTTAAATCACTTTTAAAAACTATTTGAAAACATAATCAGAGAGTGTTTAACACATTCTTCTCTTAAAATACTAAACTATTTCTCCCGAGAGTTATATCATTAAAACTAAACAATAGATTTCAGTTTAATATAACAGTAATTTCAATAAAAATAATTTAATTTTTATATATACTTGAAAATACAGAAAATACAGTGCAGTATATAAAAACTTAATTTAACTAAAAATATATTTACAATTAGCTTTTTTGTCACTAAAAATTTCAAGTGTATTTCAAAGCTTCATATTTCCATACATTTTATGGTTTGTTGACTAAAAAACTACTCTTAAAACTCATTTAGATTATAGTTTTGGATCAAATGATAATTATTTAGTGAACCGAATCATGCATTTCATTGTATTTGCTAAACATTTAACTCATTTGTTTGATAGACACTGTTATCTCAATTTGAAAATTTTAAATATAATTTTATAATATTTACTTTTCATTTAAAAAATAGTTCCCGAGATTTAATTTCTCTATTATAAAAATGTCTATTCATTTCAAATTTATTGTTATAAATTGTGAATAAATTTAATCTAATTTTAGGTTAAAGATGTCAAATGAATTTCCTAATAATAATAACAATAACTGTATTAATAATAACACCAATAATAACAATAGGAATCAAAATGTGATTAATTCTTCATCTCATACTCAAAAGTAAGTCTGATTTTAAATTAATTGTATATTTAAAACTATAAGAGAATTAAATGATCACAGGTTACTAAACCATACCATTAAATTGAACATAAAATCATTTGATATAATAAAATCATTTGTTATATCTTTTATGAATACATTAAATCCTGTGATTTACGCCAAAAATATTTGTTACAATAATATTTGCTGAAAAGACACTTTCGCATTTAATTATTTAGTTTTCCAATGAGTTTTAGTTTAGTTCACAATAATGTGTTTTATATTATATAATAAACTCATTATTATTATGATTAACAATTGAAAATACGTGAATTGCATTTCCTTTTTGCTGAATTTGCCGCAACTGTCGATAAAAATATATGACATTTCATTCAATTGTCTGAATATATATCACTACATGAGCTGACCATCAAATGTCAGTCGATTGAAGTGACAGTACATTAAACAGTAGAGAAGCAGTACTTCAATGAAAACAATTATAATAGCAATAAATGAGATTAGGACTGAATAGTATACTCACATAATAAAATTATATACATTAAATAATTTTTAGTGCATTTAAATTAAATATTTATTTATGGTTAATTCAGTCGTTTGGAAAAATAATCTCCTTTTATGTATTGATTTTAAATTTTTAGCTAAATTTTTTGAATTAAATTAATTAATTTTATACAAAGAATTGATTATGAAATGATTGATAAATGTTTTAAAATGTTAGTATAAAATACTATTGCATAATATTTTCCTCATTATTGGGAATAAAATATTAGATTTATATTTATAAAAAATATTTTGAAACTAAGTTTTTCAAACATAAAATGTGTTTTAAAATATATTTTAACGTTAAAATACATTACCATAATTGTAAAGCCAGTTATAAGTGAAATGCATTAGTCGTTATCACCATAAGAAACAGTAGTTATAACTTATAAGTGG